ATTCCTGAGTGTTTAAGTGTTTTCATACACTTTAAGGGAGTTTGTTCCCTTGTTGTAAACTCGAAGGAAGTTTCTTGTTCCTTCGTGAGAAGTCTTGGAGTGCGGTATCTCCGAGCAAAGGTGTTGAGGCTCGTGTGACTCGGGTTCTCAAGTTGTATCGGTTTGTTAAGCACCCTTAAGCTTAACGGAGTTAGTGTAGCTCGAGAGAGTCTCTCGGGGGGCTGGATTAGCCACACGTTGTGGTGAACCAGGATAAAATCCGGTGTGCTCCTTCTTTACGCTCTTTACTTTAACGCTCTCGTTTTAAATTCCTGCGATTTTGTTTTAAACGCTATTCACCCCCCCTCTAGCGTTGGGCCTTTATTCTAACAATCGTTTGGCTGTGATGGAAGGGAGCAAGCCTGTGAAACATAAGAAGAGGCACTTGGCGAACGTCCTGAGGGACTTTGTAAAGAAAGAAGTGAAGGATTTGCTGGCGGTCGGGCACATAAGAGAAGTACAATACCCGGCCTGGTTAGCAAACGTCATCCTGGCACCAAAAGGCGACACTTGGCGCATGTGCGTGGACTACACGGATCTGAACAAGGCGTGCCCCATGGATTCATACCCGCTGCCCAGTCCCGATCAGATGGTCGATGAGACGGCCGGGTGTGAGTTGCTGAGCTTCATGGATGCCTTCAAAGGCTATCATCAGATCTTCATGACCGAGGGAGACGAGGAGAAAACCTCTTTCTTAACTCCTGAAGGCACTTATTGCTACCGGGTGATGGCCTTTGGACTGAAGAACTCGGGCGCCACTTATCAGAGGATGGTAAACCGGCTTTTTAAGCCACTCCTCGGTAAGTCCATGGAGGCCTACGTAGATGAAATGCTTGTCAAGAGCCCGGGTGCGGCAAACCATCCAGCAGATATGAGGCTTTGCTTCGAGATTATGGCTAAGTACAACTTGCGTCTCAACCCCAAGAAATGCGTCTTTGCTGTAAAGACCGGTAAGTTTTTCGGGTTCATGGTGACCAAGCGAGGTATTGAGCCTAATCCTGAGAAGATTAAAGCCATAACTGAGATGAGGTCGCCCAGTTCGCTGAAGGACGTGTAACGACTCACCGGGCGGTTGGCAGCTTTGAGCCGTTTTCTCTCCCGGTCTGCTGAGAGGGCTCTGCCTTTCTTCAAAGTTCTGAAGAAGGCCAACACATTCGAGTGGGACCGGGAGTGCGAGGAAGCTTTCCAGCAGCTGAAAGAGTACTTAGTTTCTGATATAGTTCTGTCCAAACCCAAACCGGGTGAGACTTTGTACTTGTATCTAGGAATTTCCCAAAACGCTGTAAGCTCTGTCTTAATAAGAAATGAAGACGGCCAGAGGCCTATTTACTATGTGAGCAAAGCACTTAATGGGGCAGAAAGCCGGTATACTGCCATTGAGAAAACAGCATACGCACTTTTCATTACGGCCAAAAAACTGACCGCGTACTTCCAAGCTCACACTATGGAAGTACTAACCGATCAGCCACTTGGGTCGGTCCTCCGAAATTCAACCTCCTCAGGGCGATTAATCAAGTGGGCGATGAGGCTCACTCAGTTCAAAATACAGTACAAACCAAGGACCGCAATCAAGGGTCAAGCTTTGGCAGACTTCCTCGTCGAACTAACCGGTCTAGAGCCTGAAGCCAGACCTTCTCATACGGTCGAACCGTGGTGGGACATGGCCGTTGATGGGGCCTCTGGACCGAAGGGATGCGGAGCCGGCATAGTCTTCACTACTCCAGAGGGGTTCAAAATCTACCATGCGTTGGTTTTCAACTTCAAGCTTACCAACAATGAGGCGGAGTATGAGGCACTAACCGGAGGCCTCAGACTAGCCCAGGCACTCGGAATAAAGAGAATAAGAATTCGTTCCGACTCAAGTCTTGTAGTTGGACAGATCAATGGCGAGATGGAGGTAAAAGAGGAGCGTCTGGCCCGGTACGGTGACCTGGTCCGAGCACTTCTGAGAGAATTGGAAGAGTTTCGTCTGACTAGGATACCCCGGTCGGAGAACACAGACGCTGATATGCTTTCGAAGTTAATGCAATCATGCCCGGAGCATGTGTCGAAGTTGGCTAAAATTGAGAGTTTAGATCAACCAAGTACTGATCGGTTTGAAGTCGCGCCTATCCAATCGGGCCAGAATTCGGCAACCAGGATAATCGGAGTAGATGATGACTGGAGGTACGATCTCATGGAATATTTGGAGACCGGTCAGAAACCGGATGACGAGGAACGGGCCAGGAAAGTGGTCCTGCGGGCTCCCCGTTTTCAGGTAATCGATGGTCACTTGTATAAACGTGCCATTGGTGGACCTCTCCTACGTTGCCTTACCAACCCGGAGGCTGAACGGGTAATAGCTGAGGTGCATGAGGGAGTTTGTGCAGCCCATCAGATGTCTCGCACCCTGGCTCAAAGGATAATATTGCTTGGCTACTACTGGCCGACCATTGTTGGGGATTGTGAGCGGTATGTCCAGAGATGTAGGACGTGCCAGGTTTTTTACAAACATCCCGGCAGACCGGCCACATACTACCAACCAACGTCTAATGTCATACCATTTGCCCGGTTTGGGATTGACATTATTGGAGCCTTCCCGGTCGCCCAAGGCGGAAGGAAGTTCGTGATGGTGGCTATTGATTACTTCACTAAATGGGTCGAGGCCGAGGCGATGGCTACCATAACCGTGCGGCAGTGTGAGAAATTAGTTTGGAAAAACATTATCACCCGGTTTGGTGCCCCGAAGATGATTATTACCGACAACGGTCCGCAGTTTCGTAACCCCCGGTTCACTGAGTACTTGGCTAGTTTTGGAATCAAGCATAGCAAGGCCTCAGTAGCTTATCCACAGGGAAATGACCAAGTTGAAAATGCTAACCGGACGATAGTGGACGGCCTAAAGAAGAGGTTGGGTGAAGAAGGCCATAAATGGTTGGAAGCTTTGCCTCACACAGTCTGGGCGCATGGAGTGACTTCAAGAAGGGCAACCGGAGAAACTCCATTTGTGCTCACTTATGGATGTGAAGCCCGGTTGCCAGTTGAAGAAGAAATTCCAACATTTAGAGAAACCGTTTACCAGCCCGGTCAGAACGAGGTCGACCACCTAGCTGAGTTAAATTTGGTGGAAGAACGAAGGACCCTAGCAGCTGTCAAGATGGCCGGTTACCAGCAGTCGGTAAAGAGATATCACGACAATCGGGTGGGCCCACGTTACTTCCAAGTGCATGATGAGGTCTTGCGCAGACGGGATGCTAGTAAACCAAACGAGAGAGGCAAGTTGGTGCGAAATTGGGAAGGACCCTATCGCATAAAGGCGATCATCCGGCCGGGCACTTACCAACTGGAGACTATGGAGGGTGGCCGGGTTGACCGACATTGGAACTCTCATCACTTACGTAAATTCTTTAGATAAAGTGTAATGAGTTCCCTAGGTGTTAATAAAACTTTGTTCTTTTCAGAAAGATTGTCCTCATACATCAACCGGTAATTGGTTGACACACCGATCTACCCGGTTAGATGTCCAATCGAATTGGCATCTCAAAAAAAAAAGAGAGATCGGTCTCACCGATCCTACACCTCATCCGTACTAACACGGGAGTTAAAACGATTTGGCTTGACTAAAGGGAGAGCATCCCGGCCAGTTTAAGTTAGACGTACTGAAGAAAAAGTCGAGGTTTACCTTTTCACTAGGGCTTTAAGCCATTGTGAAAAGGTGCCGGCCTTACAAGCGCCCGGGCAAATACTCGATACGCCATTGCGGGTTATTAACCGACCGGAAGAAAATTGATGAAACTTAAAGTCTTCCCGGTCGACCACCCAGCCTTTCGAAAAGCCTTGGGTAAAATTATATTTTAAACCGGGTAAATGCGGCCGGGCTGTTATTTACTAATCTAAACGGTTAAAAATCTCAAGTTGAAGAGAATATATAGAAGAAAAACACTTGCATTAATATTTAAGCGTCTTACAAAAGTGCCCGGAGGCAAACCATTACACGGGAAGTAAAAAAATAATAAAAGATAAGGCCAGGGGAGTCAGATTCCCGGGAATGGAGGGACCGGTTCCTCGTCGTGCAGATCGGGCAGAGATAGAGCCTTGGGACGAAATCCTTGGATTCGCTGCTCAAGGATGCCATAGAGGGCCCGCCGCTCCGTGTACTGACCGCTCTCGTAGCCGAAGGTGCCGATCTCATCCACGATCCCGACCGACACCTTTTGCTTGTACAGGCCTTGGAAGAAGCGGATGGCGGTCTCCCGGTCAAGAAGCGCTTGGGCAGCAAACTCCTCAGGTGCCTGAACAGCCCATGCAGCAGCCAGAGAAGCCCTTTCTGAGCGCTCTTTTTCCAGCTCATCTCCAAGCCGAGCGAGCTCCTCAACCGACCGAGCATTTTCAGCCTCCAGGAGCTGGATCTTGGCCTGGGCTTGCTCATCGGCATCTTTCACGGCCTTGAGAAGTCCGTCGTGCTTGGCGTAGAGTTGGCGGTAGACCACGCAGTGCTCTACCCATTTGGCCTCCATCTTCTCCGCATGGGCGCGGGCAGCCTGGGCATCCTTCCTGCATTCGACCAGCATGGCCTCCATCCGGCCTTCTCCTCATCTTTTGACTTCACCAGCCGGGCAAAGTACTCTTCACCAATCCGGCCGACCTGCTTTAAACACGTGAAAAATTTTAGAAGCATGGCAGAGGCAATAAGAAAACAGTTAAAGAAAAAGAGACTACCTCACTCAGGTCAGCATGGAAAGCTTGGAAAAGTTCTTCGTCCGACCGGGACATTAGTGCCACAGATCGAGGCACGATGGGTCCCTTGCCAGCGTCAGAGGACTGGGGCCCCTGATGGGATGGCTGGTTGACCTCCTCGGTCTTCCGCCTCTTCCGCTGAAGGGACTCTCCAGCAGCCTCTTCTTCGCCATCATCCTCATGGGGTTGAGAGGCATGGCCGGTTTCCCCCAGCATGTTATCGAACTCCAGGGTATCTACATTGATGTAGAGCTCCCCCGAATGTATGGGCTGGCTGGTCCCCTGGTGGGATTGGGCCGACTGCTCCTCCAGAGAGAGAGGCTGGCTGGTTGGGGGGTTGAGTGGCCGAGCAGTGGAGGGTTCCTCAACCACGATCTGGGTGATGGCAAATTTCGATTGGAACTTCACCACTACAAGAAAAGAAACCGATTAGAAAAACAGAGTTGAGAATAAATAAATGTAGAGGAAAATAGGGAGGGGCAGTTGGTTGACCTTTCTCCTTCTTTTTCTTTCCCTGGCGTGAAGGACCGGCGGTGGCAGTGGCCTGGGCTTTGGGTCCTCTCGCCTGGCGGATGGGGATAGCTTTGGGGATCGCCCCGGGCAGGACAATCTCCGGCTCAGGGTCAGTCTCCCGACCGGGGTAGACGCTCCACTTCCCGACGTGGTAAAGACCGAGAGTAGACATCCCCGGCCCGGAGGGTGTTTTCCCAGGCAACCAGGTCATCGGCCTCCGTCGGTTTGACCTGGCGCTTCATTCTTTTCCCCCAGACATTTTGGGTAAAAGGAAAGGCGGTCGGGGGGAATTTGATACAGACGTATTTGTCCTTCCACTTCTTGTTGGAAGGAGGAAGGCCACAGAGAAATGCCCGGCCTTGGTGAGAAGAAACCACCACGAATCCAAGGGTCTCCTTGGACCCGGGCCGGACATCAAACATATGGTCAAAGAGACGAAGGGAAAGTGGAATACGAAGGAACCGGCAGACATTGATGAAGCTGCCCAACAAACGGTGACCATTAGGGGCTAGCTGCCCGGGCATGATACCGTATGTTTCGAGGAAAAGGACTTTGAATGGATGAATGGAGAATTCGCCCAGGTCCTTGATTGAGTGGTAATGGATACCAATCGACGTACCGGCGTGGAGAGGAATAATGCTCTTCCACGTTGCCCGGTAAGTTAATTGGTACCCGTCCGGCATCAGGTTGTGCACCTCGTGGACTTGGGCCTTCTGCATGACCGACGATTGCGTTTGGAGCAACCGGTCGTCCAGCAGAATAAAGCCCTCATCCCCAGGTTGGGCAACCGAGATCACTTGCGCCACGGAAGAAGAAGGAGCACAAGTGGAAGCATCAACCGGCTTCTTTTGTGGAGAAGTAGCCGGGCGCTCAGAATCAGAGGATGAAGAAGAGGAGGAACCGGAGGTCTGAGCCTGGTCACCAGAACCGTAAGAATGGGCGGAAGGGTTCTGGCTATCTTCGTGGTCAGACATGACTCGAGGAAGAGGAAAGAAAGAGACTTACTTGGAATAAGAGGACTCGGAGGACTCGGAAGTAGTAGAAGCGGCCGGGCGGTTTTTTAAATCGAAGATTCGCAAGTGAAGAAATCCTAGGGAGGACATCGCTTTATATAGGAGAGAGGCCGCCCAAACGGACAAACGGAAGAATGACACGTGGCAGCTAAAATGATTTGCCATCATAACTTCTCGGGGAGACGAAACGGCACAATAAATCGGCGGCTCCGTACCCGACTTCGAGAAGATTCTCCCGCTTTGGACACCTGGTTTTTGAAATTGAAAATTTCAAATTTCAAATTTCAAATATTTTGGGTTGGCGCTGGTTTTCTGAGACGATTTTCCCGCCAAAAAGCGACTGGGCAGTTCGAATTCCAGGAAATGATCGCATGTGCTTCCCGCCCCTGATGGTCCCCACAGGACCGGGAATCGGACGACTCCTTGATGGGTACTAACCCAAGGATACCACCCGGTTGGTTCACCGGACTGGGTGGTGATGGAAGTGATAGCACGCGCCTTTCTCAGCCCGGGTTATTTGACCGGTTGGATGGGGAGACCAGACGCCAATACCCGAAGATCTACTTTCAAAGTACACCTTGTGGGCCGGTCAGCCGCCTGACTGGTTGAATAATCAGAGACGTGCTTGACGTGCTTAGGATTATTATAAATACCCCTAAAAGCCTCATTTCTGGGGCATGCTTTAATTTACCTGCACGGCTTGTATTTGTAATAACTCCTATTATCATTAATAACAATTCGGGTTTCAGGTGTTTCCACCTACAACCCTTCCGATTACTCATACTTAGTATTTGCGTGGTAATTTACACCATCAAACATGTTTTATTGTGCCGTGAGTCCTAGATGACTACCGAAAGATCTCTTGCTGTTCCACCGCCAAAGAAATGTGGGACAAACTCGAGGTCACCTATGAAGGGCCCAATTTTAGAGGGGGCCACATTTTTTCCTATTTTATATATATATATATATATATATATATATACACACACACATACATATATATATATATATATATATATATATATAAAAGAAGAAATTTATTAAAAGATAAAGAGAAAGTACAAGAGGAGGGGGTGGCCGTCCCCAACAAAAAGGCCAAAACAAAGAAGTAAAAGGTACTATAAAAGGAACCAAAGCACTAGGAAACAAGGAGTAAGGGGCTAGCTACATGATACACCCAAACATTGTTTGTCAATACTCCCTTGGAGTTAATTTCAAATAAAGGCCTACTGGAATGCACAGTCTGAGGAGATTCCTTCACTACTAAGAGTGAGGGGCTGCAGATTATCCAATGCTTGAGCAAAGACGTAAACTCAGCAGCTCTACAGCCCTCAAACTTGACCAGATTCAAAAGATTCCAATAAAATGAAATTGAAATCCCTTCTCTAAAGCTAGCCATACCAGCGAGTAGACCATGTAAAGGGATTTCTAGATCATATAGGTTGCAGGTCTTTAAACACTCGAATGCCCTGCCCATAAGGAAACCAAATAATCCTATTAAAATCTTGTTGTCTACTGTCAACAATTGCTTCCAATCCCCTGAATCCCGTGCAAAGAGGGTGTACAAGATAAAGAGCCTAAAGTTCTCTGGCCTTGGTTGATCTAGATTATGATGATGGCTTATAAAAATAATGAATGAGGATGCATGAAAATGTTAGCCAAATCTTAGCAAAAACTGAATCACCAAAACTGCTGCTCCAAAACAGCATGTATTCAATGGAGAAAATCATCCTCATCATCCTCAATATCTATTGGCATACTCTTTTTTAGTCTTTTCTTTGCTTTCTTCTTTTGACTTTTTGTCAAAGACTTGTTGGCTTTCTTGGGACACACCTCTTTTTTGTTTGGGCAGCAAAGTCTAAAGCAATTGATGACTTCCTCTTCGAAGGAATCTTGGCCCTCTGACTCCTCCCATATCAGTGGAGTTATTTTCCTACCTTCTGCAAGAATTTTTGCTTTCCTTCTGGTAACTATTTGTGAAGGTGAAAAAGTCCTGGTGCCCCTAAGTTCCTTACGTAGGCTTAAGCGTTGTTTGAAGCATCTTGAGAAGTCAACTTGCAAAGGCCTAAGTTTGGATTCTATGAATGCTCTATCCTCTCCGTCTGAGTGAGTATAGAGTACAGGTCCACCCCTTTCCTCTATAATGTCCTCCACTGCATTCAAACTATGTACTAGGCTCCTTTCATGGATCTTCGAAAAAGGATCTAGATGTTCGTTGACTTTGTTCTCAATACCATGTCCTTGAGAGAAAAGTGTTGCAAGGGTATTTTTCAACACAGGTAAGAAAGGTGGAGCAAAGGGGGACATTGTACTACTAGGTAGGGGTGGGAAGAGGGTTGGGACAGTTCCCTCCTGGGTGGCATTCAAATGGCTCTCACATTCAAGAGAAATAGTGTCTGTGTTAGCACTTTTGATTTGCAAATCAGCCTCAAGCAACCCATTAAGTTCTGTACTACCAGAGGGAAATTTTTCTAATTGTACCCCAGGTGTTTCAACTCCCAATGTATCCAATTTAGGAGGACTCAGTGAAAGGTGCTCGGTTATCGTTGCTGTTGGCAAAATTGGAGGTTGTACTGATGTTTGAGCAATTGTAGTAGTGGTAGGAGCAATCTCAAGAGTTGTAGTTGTATTAGTCTTGGTGACCTTATCAAGGAAAGAAGACACAGCTGTTAGTCGGTTTAGACGTTGTGCCCACGCCTTAGAGGGGGGGTGAATAAGGCGTTTAAAATCTTTTCGGAGTTTGATAAAAATGGTGTTGGCAAATGCGGAAGCAATATATAAAATGCAGAAATAAAAGCGTAAATAAAATGAACACCGATTTTATACTGGTTCGGGAAACCCCTACTCCAGTACCTCGAGGCTCCTCCTCAAGGATTTCCGAATCCACTAAGTCCCGGCCTCTTGAACTCCGTCAAACCACCGCACTAGTTTTGGCAAACAACCCTTGCCAATAGGATTCACTCCGAGATTTCACAACGGCTATCTCGAACCGTTTACAATGAAGATTTAACGGCTATCTTCTACCGTTCCCCCAAGGATTTCAAAGGCTATCCTTGAACCTTTACCCAAGGATTTCAAAGGCTATCCTTGAACCTTTACCCAAGGATTTATACGGCTATCCTCGACCGATAGAATATGAGAATTTAACGGCTATTCTCGACCATATAAAGATGTGTTTGAAGAACACAAATAAGAGTTCTACACAACGGCTTGAATATAAAAATGAAGAACAAAACTTAGCCGGTGTAGAAGGAAGGTATACTCTCTCAAAAATACAATTCAAACTTATGAATATGAGAGTATATAACTAGAAACACAAGCTCAAAGTGTGTGTATAAAAATCAGGAATTTAAGGCTCTTAAAATAGCCAAAATATTGAAAATAATTAATAAAAGGATGAACACACTTAGAATAAAAAGAGAGGATGATTAGAGCTTTGTTTCTTAAAGAAAATATGAAGGATTAGGCTTGTATTTATAGTGGAAGATGTTAATTAGCCGTTGGGAGGTGATTAGGGTTGATTTAATTCAAATTGGCAATTTTGCTACAGTGTTGTAACAGATCCGGTACCCTTCACGGTAGGGGGGTCCGTGTCATCCGGTACCTAGGTACCGTGACACGGTACGACCTACCGTGTGGGGGTACCGTATAGGCCAAAATAAGTTTCGCCTCTGGCGGTACCGGGTTAGGACGGGGTGGCCTAAAGTGTGTGCCTACCGTACGGTACCTGGGTACCGTTACACGGTATTGGGGTACCGTGTAGGCGATATACCCTACCGTTTGGGGTACCGCTAGGGGTACCGTGCCACTGTCCTACTTTTTCCAAAATTCCCGTAATCCTTCGCGTTTGAGTTTAAAACCTTTTGGATATTTTGAAAATATTTATGGGATGGTTTTAAACATATTTTGTGAGTGCTTTTGAGCTTGTGAATATAGGTATATAAAGTCATATCCTTACATTAGTTTCTACCTATATTCTACGCTAGTTTAGTGTTTCGACTTCATTCTTAAGTACCGAATCTTAATGGATTCTTGTTGTACCTGAAACACTTAAACAAACGTCAAACTCTTATATTGTTTGTTAACATCAAAACATGAGACTTAGCAAACCAAGGCTAACAACAGCCTTGAAGAACAGAATCAAATCAGTATTCTTAGGACCTGAGGGGATTATAATGTATCTTTTCCCTTCCTTTCTTTTCTCTTGTATTTTTACAAATTCACCCCTTCTGTTTGAAACATCTGCTAGCTCTATGGTACGGTTATCACCAAATGAAAAGAGAGCCCAGGCTCTGTTAACACATATCCTTGGAAGTGATTCCATAATCCATCTTAATGTGTCCAAATCGAACCAGAGATGAAATGTTTTGTATCCACACTCAGTTATGCAGAAGTTTTTATTATAATAGGAGTGGAATAGCTCAAATACCTTAGTTTGGGTTCGGAATGTAAATCTATGATTGCGGCTCGATTTTGTGGTTGAAGATTGATCCTTTCCTCCCAAGATGACCATACGAGAGTGGCTGAAGACATAAAAATCCACCAACGCTTTTGAATCTGGGGATCTGAATGGCCATCTTTGTTTCTTACCCTTCTTGCCTTGGATACTGTGATTATTAAAATCTGTAAATCTTGCTTCTTCATGTGCTTTTTTAGGAGGTCGTGGATTTGGATATAAGGAGAATCGCAAAGAAAAGCCATAGTTTCTGGAGTAAAGATTCCTAGAATTGTGATCATAATAATCTCGCCGGCGGAGATCGCTGCTCCTCCTTCTCTCTAAACGCTCCGTGTATATATATATATATATATAGACACACACACACACACAGATATATATACATATATATATATATAAACAAGATCTTGTATAAATTTAATGTAAGAAACAAATCAAATTAGGGGGTTTGTGATGGAACTCCAAAGACTTAGATTTGAAGTGGTGGCCTACGTATAAAAACTGAAGAAGAAGAAGATGATGATGAAGAAGAAGATGTGCCTATGATTTTGGCAAAGCAGAGACAACAAATCCAAGAAGATGAAGATGAGATGGAAAAAGTGGATAAAGGAGAAGAATTGAATAGGTGGGCGAAGAATTAGTATTGGGTTTTGGGAATTAATTGGTGATGGGTGGGTTGGGAGATAAGGATGTGATGGAGGGTATTATTGTATTTTACTTAAAAAAATATTTACCAAAAAGAAAATGAGAAGATAATTTCTGGACAGATTAAACAAGGAAATTGGGAAGAGCATTTTTGGACAAAGGAAGAATATGTATTTACATAAAAAAACAAATTTACAAAGAGGATTAAAAAACAATTTGCAAACCCGCTACTTGAATTTGACTATGAATTTGACATTTTGTTATTAATATAATGTTAGTTAATGTTAAAAAATGAAGAATGAATTTCCAAAAGGCCATTTCTAATAAGATATTTTTTTCTAAATTAGTCCTCAATAAACAATAATTACTAACATGATCTTTTATAATTGAGATGTACTCTCTAAATAGTCATCTTCCGAAACTATCTATTAAATGTCAGTAATATAGAAGATACTTTGGTATTTTCTATCATCTCGACTTAAAGTATGTTTTCCAAATGCTCCTTTATAATTAAGTATTTTTCCAAACTGATAATTTTTAAGTGAATATTTTACTGCAATGGAGTACGTTCATGAGCCTACTCAGAGTGAGTCTTTTCCTCTAGCGGCCACCCACTTAATTTGAAAGGACCATTTAGAAAATACATCTCAATTACAAAGGACTATGTTGGTAATTATTGTTTATTGAGAGCTAATTTAGAAAAATACATGGTTAGAAAGAAGTGTTTTGGGAATTTGCTCAAAAAACTAATTGATAGATTTTATTTCATTATGATACAATGACCCACTTTATCACTGTCGTCCAGGGCCCCAAATTTCTTAGAGACGGCCATGTCCCAAAGCTTAAGTTTGAAAAAGACACCATATGTGATGCATGCCAAAAGGGGAAGCAAGTTTGGGCCTTGTTTAAATCTAAGAACATTGTCTCAACGTCAAGGCCCCTTCAACTTTTGCACATGGATCTCTTTGGTCCTTCTAGAACGAAGAGTTTCGGTGGCAATTACTTTGCCTTTGTGATTGTTGATGACTATTCTAAGTTCTCATGGACATTATATATTGTTTCTAACTCATAAAAGTGATACATTTCAAATGTTCAATTTTTTTTTAAAGAAAGTTCAAAATGAAAGAGACACCACCATAGTATCCATTGGAAGCGATCATTGGGCAAAGTTCAAACGAAATCTATTTTCTGACTTTTGTGATGAGCTTGGAATTGATAATAACATCCCCATGTACACCACAACAAAACATAGTGGTGGAACGTAAGAATAGATGTCTCGAAGAGATGGAAAGAACTATGATCAATGAGGCAAAAATTCTTAAGTATTTCTAGGCAGATGCCATGAGTACTGTGAGCTACGTGTTAAACCGAGCCATCATTCGACCGATACTCATGAAAATGCCTTATGAACTTTACAAAGAGAGAAAGCCAAACCTTTCCCATCTTCGAGTCTTTAGATGCAAATGTTTTGTTTATGATAACGACAATGATAATTTGGGCAAATTTGACGCTAAGTCGGACGAAGGGATCTTTCATGGCTTTTCATTACATAGTAAGATCTTAAATAAACGTACTTTGATCGTTGAGGAATCACCTCATGTTGTCTTTTCCGAAGATAATACTTGCTTGGCGAGAAAGGATGTTTGTGATGATCTCTCAGATTCACTCAAAAGGATCCATATCCAAGACGATGAAGAAGATGTGAACCCGAACGTCCAAACAGGAGAGCAGCCCCAGCCAAGCTAAGGAAACTTCACAAGGAACACCTCAAGGAGAGGAAGAACATGGAGAGGAAGAATAAGAGAAAATCCAGCTCCCCGTGGCATGGAGGACAAACAAGAGTCATCATCTTGACCAGGTAATAGGCGACATCAATCGAGGGGTAAGTACTTAAAACTCTCAGGGGACACCATAGGACAGATGGCTTTTGTTTCACAAAATGAACCTACAACTATTTTAGAAGTAATAAACGATGAACATTGGATCTTGGCTATGCAAGAGGAGCTGAATGAATTTAAACAAAATGACGTTTGGGAATTAGTGCCAAGGCCCGATGATCGTACGATTATTGGTACGAAATGGGTGTTCCATCACAAACTCGACGAAAATGACACAATCACTAAAAACAATGCTATGCTCATAGCTAAAAGCTACAATCAAGAAGAAGGAATTGATTATAAAGAAACCTATGCACATGCATCACGTTTAGAAGCTATTCGTTTACTACTTGCTTTTGCTTCATCTATGGCTTTTAAAATTTATCAAATGGATGTTAAGAGTGCCTTCCTCAATGGTTTTATTCAAGAGGAAGTGTATATTGACAAGCCCTTGGGTTTTGAAGACTTTGAGTATCCCGATCACGTCTTCAGACTCAAGAAAGCACCTTATGGTCTTAAATAAGCATCCCATGCTTGGTACAAATATTTGAGTAAATTTCTTTTGGACAGTGGGTTCCAAAGGGGAAGGTTGATATGACACTTTTTATGAAGAGTAAAAACAATAACATCCTTTAGGTTCAAGTTTACGTAGACGACATTATATTTGGTACTTCTAAGGAGTCTTTGTGCAAGGAATTTTCAAAACTTATGACCAACGAATTCAATATGTCAATGATGGGCGAGTTCACATTCTTTTTGGGCTTACAAGTTAAGCAAATAAAAGATGGAACCTTCATTTTCCAAACCAAGTATTGCAAAGAACTGTTAAAGCAGTTCGAAATGGAAAAGGCCAAGACTATGGCGACACCCATGATCACATCTGACCACCTTGACAAAGACGAGAAAGGTAAGGAGGCTGATGTCAAGGAACTTCGAGGTATGATCGGTTCACTTCTATATCTTCGAGGTATGATCGGTTCACTTTTATATTATGTCCAACGCATGTCTTTGGGCTAGGTATCAATCATGTACAAAAGAATCGCACCTAACAGCGGTTAAATGGATTATGAGATACCTTGTTGACACGACTAACGTTTGTTAGTCGGTTTAGTCGTTGTGCCCACGCCTTATAGGGGGGTGAATAAGGCGTTTTAAAATCTTTTCGGAGTTTAATAAAAACGGTGTTGGCAAATGCAGAAGCAATATATAAAACGCAGAAATAAAAGCGTAAATAAAATGCACACCGATTTTATACTGGTTCGGGAACTCCCTACTCCAGTACCTCGAGGCTCCTCCTCAAGGATTTCCGACTCCACTAAGTCTCGGCCTCTTGAACTCCGTCAAAGCACCGCACTAGTTTTGGCAAACAACCCTTGCCAATAGGATTCACTCCGAGATTTCACAACGGCTATCTCGAACCGTTTACAACGAAGATTTAACGGCTATCTTCTACCGTTCCCCCNAACACAAAAGAGGATTCTACACAACGGCTAGAATATAAAAATGAAGAACAAAACTTAGCCGGTGTAGAAAGAAAGTATACTCTCTCAAAAATACAATTCAAACTTATGAATATGAGAGTATATAACTAGAAACACAAGCTCAAAGTGTGTGTATAAAAATCAGGAATTTAAGGCTCTTAAAATAGCCAAAATATTGAAAATAATTAATAAAAGGATGAACACACTTAGAATAAAAAGAGAGGATGCTTAGAGCTTTGTTTCTTAAAGAAAATATGAAGGATTAGGCTTGTATTTATAGTGGAAGATGTTAATTAGCCATTGGGAGGTGATTAGGGTTGATTTAATTCAAAATCACAAATCAGGAACAGTAACCTAACGGTCACGGTAGGGGGGTCCCGTCCATACGGTAGGGGGGTCCCGTCCATACGGTAGGGGGTCCCGTGCTTACGGTAGCTAGGTACCTTCTCAGGCCAAAACTCTCTGGCGGTACCTATCTTAGTACGGTACCCCTTACGGTAGGGGGGTCCCGTCCAGACGGTAGGGGGGTCCCGTGCTACAGTCCTGCATTTTTCAAAATATCCTTAATCCTTCGTGTTTGAGTTTAAAACCTTTTAGATGTTTGAAAATGTTTATGGAATGGTTTTAAACATATTTTGTGAGTGCTTTTGAGCTTGTGAATATAGGTATATAAAGTCATATCCTTACATTGGTTTCTACCTATATTCTACGCTAGTTTAGTGTTTCGACTTCTTTCTTGAGTACCGAATCTTAATGGATTCTTGTTTTTCCTGAAACACTTAAACAAACGTTAAGCTCTTATATTGTTTGTTAACATCAAAACATGAGGCTTAGCAAACCAAGGCTAACAACGTTGGCCTATGGTATCTTAAAGGGTCTTCTTGTAATCTTGTTGGATACTCCGACTCAAACTTTGTCGATTGCAAGTTGGACCGTAAAAGTACGAGTGGGACATGTCACTTGCTTGGTAGTTCATTAGTTTCATGGTTCAGTAAGAAACATTTTAGTGTTGCGTTGTCCACAACCGAAGCGGAATACGTTGCCACCGAGAGTTGTTGTGTTCAAACCCTTTGGATGAAGCAATAACTTGTAGATTATGGCCTTAGTTTCGATCATGTTCCTCTTCGATGTGATAATACTATCGCCAAAAGCTTGACGAAGAACCTCGTTCTTCATTCAAGGACGAAACACAATGACATTTGGCATCATTTAATAAGAGATCATGTTCTCAAAGATGATGTCGAAATTGAGTTCAGTGAAACAAAATATCAATTAGTTGACATTTTCGCAAAACCTTTAAAGAAAGAGTCGTTCTTCCGCATTCGAAGTGAACTCGGAATTCTTGACTCCACGATGATCTAAGTTGCACATTTTATTTCATTAAACATTTAATAACTTGAGCGTCGGAGGCTCTTTTAACTCTTTTTTGCAGGTACCCCACTCAACAAGTACAAAAATCAGGGGGGGACCATGCAAACAACAATGTTTAGGACCCAACATCATATTGTTGTTCAAACAGCATTGTTTCATTTCCAACAACGATGTAGCCTTAATAAACGTTATATTAGAAACCATAGAAACAATAATGATGTTGCAAGGACAACATCGATGTTACAGGAAGTTCTTGTTTCTCATTCACTTCCAGAAAGTTTTGGAACAACAATGTTGCAAGGACAACATCGATGTTACAAAGAGTTCTTGTTTTTTATTCATTTCAAAAAAGTTTTGGAACAACGATGTTGCAAGGACAACATCAAAGTTACAGGAAGTTCTTGTTTTTCATGCATTTCTAGTAAGTTTTGGAACTTCGATGTTGCAAGGACAACATCGATGGTACAGGGAGTTCTCGTTTCTCACTCATTTCTAGAAACTTTTTTAACACAGTTGTTTAAATGTTAACATCGCTATTACCCCCTTACAATTTTTTCAAACATATCACATAAGAGCGATGTTCCGTCTTGAACATCGATGTTCCAACAACGATGTTGCAAACTAAACATCAATGTTCGGAGTGCTGAATTCAAAAAATATATCCGTTGGACACAAGATTTAATTCCCCACCAAGCTTGGTGGTTTGCCCGCTGGGATTTTAAAAAAAATTGCAACAGTTCTATCACTCCACTCCTATATATTTACACCCCATTCATCATTTTTTATTCACACACTCTCATCTCTTTTGAATCCATATGCATATTTCTCCAAGTTCTTCAACATCTCTCAAATTTCTGCAAAAACAATGGCCAAAGACAAGGCTAAGGCAGCTGCAACCGAGAAATCCAAAACAAAGTCCAGAACCACGACGAGCTACACCGACAACCGCTTCCTATACCAATACGTTTCGTTCCTATGGTTTGACACCGAGGAGGAACTTACCCGGTTTCTCACATACTTTGCCAACCAGGCAGTGGCACCACAGAGGATCCTCCTGGAGAGCTACCCGGACAAGATGTGCTATGACACCCTCGATGCACAACTCTACAAATAGGGGCTTTGGTCCTTCGTCTCTAAGTCCCGGAAAAAATATAATCCGACACTGATTTGGGCATTCTACTCAAACCTTCGACGTGAAGGAGATGTCCTTTACACCATGGTCAAGAGCACGCCGATAGAACTCACCGTTGAGCATCTTGGACGCATTATCGGACTGCCCTCTCAAGGCGGTGAGATCTTCAATTATGGAGGAGAAGACTGGGTGATCTACAATGAAGGGTTGGTCATCTAGGAGCTCGGCATCACCAAACTTATTCGGCATGCCACTGGTCGTCCCACCATTCGCTCCGCTCCTCCCGAGAACCGTCTGCTTCTCTACATCATCTCTCGGATCCTCAAGCCCTGGGATGGAAGTCACACGACAATGTTCGACGAGGACATCAAGATCATCCACACATCCATGCACGTGGCACCGTTGAATTGGACCAAGTTCTTGATGATCCACATGGCCGACGCCGCCACCATTTCCCATGACCGAATCCTGCCATATGCCTTCTTAGTGATGGACATCCTAGAGCGGGCTAAAGTCACTATCACCGTAGGGCCTCTCACAAAGGCCACGAAGCTTTGGACCATTCATGACCAAACCTTCAAGAAATCGTTAGAGACCGACACCACTACCACACGCCGCACCACAGCCCCAAGCCACGCTGCAACACTAGCATGTGCCACCCTCGCCTCTATTTGCCGACACCATCAATGGCTGAATCTCACAGTCGATGGGATGGGTAGCTCAATTGAGAGGATTGACGCATAGGTTCAAAGACAAAGATACGCCTTGCAAGACGAATTTCAACTGCGTCAACTACGTGCCACCGTTGTACCAATCAACCTTCCTCGACCAAGCCTATGCCAAAGACGAAAACGAATGGTCTTACGCCCCTTCAAAATCCCTGGACGAGGACGAGTTTGAAGAGGAAGTAGATGGCGATCCCATGGACGTTGAAGACAACGAGTTTTCATTATTGTTGTTTTTTACTACTTCTGTTGTACCCCGCATTTCCTTAAATTTTAACAAAATTAGTGTTTAAAATGTTTTTAAGGGGGTTATGCATAATTTAAGGGGGGACATTTCCAAAATGATTTTTTTAAAGGCATAAATTAAGGGGAGACTATTTCAATCCTTTTCAAAATTTCAAAACCATCTTTCATATGTATATCCCCGTCTTGTTTGCTGTTATCATAAAGGAGGAAATTGTTGGAACACACTTTACGCTTATGTTGAACTAAAGTGGTGTTCAGTTTTGACGGGTTTTGATAAATGTCAAACCACCGTGGATATGAAAAGATGTTGAACAAACTCAAGACGAAGAATATAACAAAGTGATCAAGTGGAGACAAGAACCAAGAACGAAGACGAAGACTTAGAAATAGATTAGTCGGTCTTAGTTTGATCAAAACTGGCATTGACTTCATAAACTTGGCTCTCAAAAGTTAAAATCATTAAAATGCTTTTCATGTATCATTAAAACTATTTTTCATAAAGTTTTCATAAACCAAAAAACACATGGCATTCACTCAAACCAAAAACCATGCACGACGTTTGGCGTTCAGCTTTAGAGGCCGTGTTCGACTTTCAGAAGCAATCGCTCAGCTTTCGGTTATCGGTGCTGGTTTTTGGCGTCAAAACCAACCAAGTGGTTTTTAATATTTTATGATTTTTTTAACTTCTGCGCACATTTAAATAGTTATCCAACAAAAACATGTTAAAAACCACCTTTCATTTTTGGTGTTTTGGCAAAAACTGTGTGAAACGGCATAAACTTGACCAGCCGTAGTTTTTACCTCAATGACATGGTTTTTAAGATATTGCACATGGTTTCTTATTCAAATCCATTAAATAAGTGTTTCCAACACTTATTTTTCAAATTGGTGAACTTTGAATTTTGACATCGACTTTTGGGGTTGACCGGCTAGCAATGGTTCTAGCGAACCAGCCCAAAAGCGATGTTGGACATGCAACATCGATGTTGAGGTTGCACCTGAAAACCATGGTTTGGCAGAATGGTCTCCTACAGCGATGTTAGAAGTGGAAAATCGTTGTTACGCCTAAAAGTGAAAGTTCCAAAGCTGGCCTCAAGGGCGATGTAGGAAACACTCTTGACAAAATGTTTTTTTAACAGCGATGTTGGCCCAGCAACATCAATATTAGACCATTTTTTTCCTTTGGAAAAACAGTCCTCAACAGCGATGTTCACTTATGAACATCGATGTTGGCACCTGACCGTTGGAAGGAATTAAAGGATAAATATTTCTTTCTTTGGAAGTCAACCTCTGAAACAGCGATGTTCACCTATAGAACATTGATGTTATAGTGAACGCTGCACATTCAAATTGGAAAGTTTGAGCCTTAACAGCGATGTTCAGGACTTGAAAATCGATGTTAGGCCAATATCCATCTGATCCATTTTTTATTCAAATCCCACAAATTATGTCAATCATCCCCATTCTACTCCCACTCGTTGGAGATTATTTTTTGAGTATAAATAGGGGTTTTTGGGTCTTCATTCCACACACCATTACTTCACAAATTAATACTCTTTCATTGCATTACTTATTCATCGTTTTCATTGCTTTAGAGAGCCAATTTCGTGAAGTTTTTGTTCTGTTCTTGAGCGTTCTTATTTGTATTCATTATCTACTCTTAAGGAGAGTCTTGTTCTTGAGTGTTTAAGTTTTTCATACACTTGAAGGGAGCTGAGGTTTGTTTCCTTATTTGTATAAATGAAGTGTGCATTCCTCTGAGTTTGAAGTCTTGGAGTGTTTGTAACTCCGAGCAAGTGTCGTTGAGGCTTGTGGTACTTGAGTTCTCAGGTTGTAATGGGTTGTTAAGAACCTTCAAGCTTAACGGGGTTATTAGTAGGACCTTAGAGAGAGTCTCTCGTTGGACTGGACGTAGCCACACGTTGTGGTGAACCATTATAAATCTTGTTGTGTCTTCTTACGCTTTTACTCTTTACACTTTTAATTTTTTTTATATTCCTGCAATTTTCGTTTCAAACACTATTCACCCCCCCCCCCTCTCGCATTGGGACTCTTTTCTAACAGATGTTTTCTTTGTTCCAATCCAAAGTACTAATAGATACTCATTAGAAGGGCATTGAAGTTTATATTACATCTTTCCCACTCGATCACTTTGTGTCTTACTTTTTTAGTTACGTTTAAACTGAATTTCGCTTTTGTCGTTTTCAATCCAAGCACCACCACAGTGAATGAAGAGAGATAGCGAAGGGGCCATCTGCACGCAAAAATAGAATTAAATATGTCAACGTCTTATAAATGTGTCGATTTATATACGTCGACAAAATCAAATTAGACCTTAAATAATATTTCGCCAAAATAATGACTAACTTTGTCAACACTCTTCGCTGTCAAAAACAGTTGACTAATTTGTCAACCTATTTAGCTCAACATGTGATCGACCAAAATACCTCGAGATAATTTAGAATGACAACATAAGTACATCGAAACTTGTGAACATCCAATCGACATATAAAATTTGTTGTCTAAAAGATACACACACACACACACACACACACACACACAGATATATATATATATATATATATATATATATATATATATATATATATATATATACATACATACATACATATATATATATATATATATATATATATATATATACATACATACATACATACATACATACATATATATATATATATATATATATATATATATATATGGCGACATAGAGCCTGTTCTTTAGGATTGGAAAAAAGAGCTAGATGTTGGAAGAAACTAGAAAGAACTGGAAGAAACATGATAGAATTGGAAGAAACTGGAAAAACTTCAAAAAATTGGTAAACCAAAACACTTAAAAAAACTTTATTTTAGTGTATTTTTATGTTATTCAAATTCCAATTCTTGTTGTTATAAATTATTATTATTATTATTATTACAATGATTATTATTATTATTATTATGATCATCATGATCATCATCATCACTTTATCTTAATGAATGCTTTTAAGATAAAAAAAGTATTGTTATTTTTCATACATAAAAAATTACTTTTGCAAAAAAATAATAATTCTAATATAAAGTTAGCATAAATATCAAAATGTTAACTTTTTAAAAGTTATTGTGGTTTCATTGCACCTTAATTTATTTATGCAGTATTTATTATAAATAATATATTTGTAATTATACTTTATATATTACAAGATATTATTTTAAATATCAGACATGTCACATAATGTAATTAAACATATTTTTCTTTCATGATTGACGTTTTATTTTCATTGTAACTCCTATCTTTAGAATAAAGACACAGAACTTTTTTTCACATTTTTTATGTTTTACTCCTATTTTAATCTTTTGTCTAAACTATTTTGACTTTCGATTTTTTTAATTAAAATTCGAAAAATGAGAAAAATTTGAGTAATAAAGGGAAAGGTGAGGGGTCTTATATAAAGTTAGATTAGTAAATTATTCTATGTAACTATTTTATCCATAATTTTTAAATATATTTTAAAATATTAATATTTTCCTGTTTTATCATGTAGTTTAATATACAAAAAATTGTCTTATTCATATTAAAGAGTTGAAGAAAAAATAATGAGTGTGAATCATAAAAATAGTGACATGAAAAAATAATTTATAAGCTATAGTTATGAACATAACAATTGTAATAATAATAATAATAATAATAATAATCACATTAAAAATATATCGTTTTTAGAGTAATTGGTTGGGGAGTAGAAAAAGTTTGAAGAAAATGAGAATAGTTGGAAGAAACTGGAAGAACTGAAGAAATTGGAAGGAACTGAAGTAAAAAGTTTAAGAACTAAAAAACATGCGCTTAATGATGATGTCATGTATTATTAAGAGCGACCAAATATGTCGACTAATTAGATAGTGTCGGCTAAAATATTCGGACGACCACATATAAGATCGTAATTCACATTTAGACTTTATGTGTTAGACCCGAGACCCAGGGTCTTAACGAGTTGCAAATTTCGAGATGAAAAATGGTTGTTGAATGAGAAATGGGGGAGGGCCGAAATATGGTTGGGGAAAGAGGTCTTTTGGTGTTTTTAATACGAGGAAAGAAAAGAGAATAAGGAGAGAAATGGTGGGAGGAGAAATGGATAGAAATAAACGATGGATAAATCAAGTTGGTGTTTAAGAGATATTACACACTCTTATCCTAACTTGGGGTTTAAACCTAGTATCCAAATAAGATATGACACACTTATTTAAATAACTAGAACCTAAAACTCACACTTAAGATAACCACTCTTAAGATATAGAATTAGGAATTGGGTTAAAATATCATCACACTATTTTAAGAATACTCAAAGAGTAAACAAAGGTTTAATATTCAAAGTTGTATGTTACAATGGCCATATGGCCGAAATTTATAAGGGGAAAGGGGGGGGACACAAATACAAGGAAACTACCAAGCAACTTGCTCTCTCAAATCTTGAAGATAATGACCATGTGTTTGTTTCCTCTTGGGGGGGGGGGGATAAAATCAGAGATAGGGTTGTGGTTTGTGGAGCTGTAATGACCATGTGTTTGTATCCTCTTGGTTGGATAAAATCAGAGATGGGGGTGTGGTTTGTGGGGCTCTAATGACCATGTGTTTATGTCCTCTTGATGGGATAAAACTAGAGATGAGGGTGTGGTTTTGTGGGGCTGTAGTAACCATGTGTTTTATCCTTAATGGGCTGTCCTCATTGACCAAGGTTAATGATTCTTAGGGCTTTCATTTTGGCTCCATTTGGGGTGGTAATTTCGTGGATGGTGAAGGGGGGATATATTTGGACATGGGACAAAGGGGGGTGTATCTAGTCACATTTGAATGATGCTTTGCTTGATATGGGAGGGTGAATTCGGCCTAGGGACAAGAAAATGCGAGAGGATGATGCCTTGATGATATTACACAACAAAACTAAAAACACATCTAATCAATGTCTCCTGATTTGATTTTAATGAGTAAGTTGTGTCTTGCTTAGTATTGGGATGATTGTGGCCAGATTTTTTGGACAAAAATGGATAGAATTTCGTGGTTATGAAGTGGGGAAGAGTGGGGGAAGGCTTTATTCAATGAAGGGAATAAAAAGAAAGAAAACAACACACAAAATGTTTTTGTTTTGTCTTTTTGGTCCTATTTTTTGCCAAGGCTGTAAAAATGAAGGAAAAGACTTTATTTTGGATATCAAATGGAGATAAAATACTTTTGGATATTTTGGGATGGTTTTAGACTGAAATAGGAGTGACCAATGGAACCCTCAGGTCAAACGGAGGTTGTTTTGGCCTTTCGAGTTTTAAGACCTTTGAATTCAACTAAAATGGATCATAATGTTTGAATATAAGTCCTTTGGTTTCCATGAGGGTGTGGGACGTGGGAGAGGGTATGATGGGGCCGGGCTCGGGTATATCATTATCAAAATTCACATTTAGACTTTAATTATGTCGACCCTTCGTGCATTGACCTTGGCGAGTCTAATCATGTCGATATGTGTTGATCTCCACCGGCTATGTTTAATTATGCAATCCTAACTGTAACTATTATATGAATGTGTAATTACATGGAAAGAACCTTTCACCCACAAGCGACAACAAACGAAAGACGGTGAAGAAAGTCAGATTAAAATGATTTACGGTGCCGGAGACACCCACGAAACAAAAGCGTACGATGAGAGGTGACAAATTAAATTTGACGGGAACTAGGTATCGCAAGTGACGTTTGGATTAAACAACAATGAAAAATGGTGCACCGCCGAAACAAGAATAACGAATATCTTTGTTAGGGTAGAAACACTCCACTGTCGCAACGATTTAATAACAATAATCTAGCAATAACAGTTTGGAGACAAAAGATAAGAAAGTAATTTCACTTTAAAAGAAAGAATAGGCTAACAAATATGAAGCCTTTTAGAATGGGTAAAGCTATTTGTACCCCAAGAATTTGTACCTCATTTTGTACACCGCAGGGATGCACCTACATTTTGTGGTGGTGTAAAGCTAATTTTTGTTAACACACCAATATTTTGTGTTAGTGTATATGTTTGTTAATGGATCAACACTTTGTGTCAGTGTGAACCATCAAAATATTATTGCATATTTTTGGTGTACAAATGAAACACAAATTTTAGGTACACGTAGCATGCTCCTTTTCCTTTTATAATAGAATGATTGAAAAAATCTCTTCGGGCATTTTGAAAAAAAAGACCCTAGTCTTAGACCTGTTATCCCCAACTTTGCCTATTGCGTCGTCTCTCAAATGGCTCTCCACCACTCAATTTTCAATAATCCACTAATTCCCAACCTCTGCCCTCTTTTCTCACATTCCTTTACCATTTGATCTCTTCCCCACAGAGTGTTCTCCTCTCTAATTTGTACAGAAATGGCTACTGCAGTGAGCGCTGCAGTGTCTCTTCCCTCATCAAAGCCAACCTCCTCTCTGCCTAGCAAAACCTCTGTTCTCTTCCTTGAAAAACTCAGTTTCAACAAGGTACATTTCCTGTCTGAACTGGTATACTTTTCTGTTTAAATATTCATTCGTTTATTTAAAATTTTCGATTAATTCTGAGAGGGATTTGGATTATCTTGATTTGTTCGTTCTGTTTTTGCCTCAACCTGTATGCTTTTTAATTTGAGGAAATTCTGAACTTTTTGTTAAGTTTTTCTTTTCCTGTAACCTCATATTTATTGTTTTAAAATTCTCACATGGGAGCTGGCTGCTCTCATTTAGGTGCCTTTTTACCTTAGAAATGTGTCAACTGGTTGGAGATTGGTGTCCATTAGAGCACAAATTACCACTGAGGCTCCTGTCAAGGTTGAGAAGATCTCCAGGAAACAGGAGGAGGGTATAGTTGTCAACAAGTTCAGGCCTAAAGAACCATATGTAGGGAGATGCCTTCTCAACACTAAGATCACCGGAGACGATGCCCCAGGTGAAACATGGCACATGGTCTTCAGCACTGAGGGTATTCATCTCAAAGTAGTTTTTTGTCATACTTTGCCTTTCTTTCTTATTTTTCGTTTCTATTGTTTCTAATATGTCAGGAACTACTTTCCGCTTACAATAGTGGAGAGATTAACAAAAAATATCTCCAGAAGGATATCAGGCTTGTTTAAGCAAACGGAATTTAGGCAGTTTCAAATGCAATTTTGTCATTTTTCCGCATTGCTTAGTTTTGTGATGTTGAGATAAGTAGACAACTAAATTTGGACAGAGAGTAATACATGTAAACATGTACATGCTAATAGGGAGTAAATAGGGTCAAGAAAATAGGTGTATTTTTCATTTGGAGAAGGCCTAGTTTATTGATTATTACAAAGTACTGATTACTGAAATCGTTAATTAAGAAGTCGATATCAGGAAAATCAATTTGTCCCTTATAATCTGCCAACTCCAAACCATTTATTAATCAGCTTGATTAGTTCTTTCATTCTTTGATAAATTCCATAGTTTCTTTACCATTTATCAGATATACCATGATGAATATGGATCAGTTTTTTGATTCATTGGGCTGATATTTGTTTCGGGGTTTATTAGGGGAAATTCCTTACAGGGAAGGTCAATCAATTGGGATCATTGCCGATGGAGTTGATGCCAATGGGAAGCCTCACAAGTTGAGGTTATACTCAATTGCCAGCAGTGCCCTTGGTGACTTCGGAGACTCCAAGACTGTAAGCATAAGAAACTAAAATTTGGCATAAATTTGCTTTGCAATAAGGTAGTCTATAACATTTTTCATTGCCGATTAAATTAAATATGTATTGAATCTTATGTATAGCCACGAATTCTGGAATTTTGATGTTTAATAATGTGTTGCTATTAGTGTGAAAAATGATGCGTAAACTAATATAAGGAGCTTAGGTCCTTAAATCTGTTCTTCCGTAAAAAAGAAAAGGATGGATCTGAAATTTAAATCTTTTACACAGGTTTCCCTCTGTGTCAAAAGGGTTGTCTATACCAATGACAAGGGCGAAGTTGTTAAAGGCGTTTGCTCAAACTTTTTATGTAAGCATTCTATGGCACATATTATGGCATACATTGTGTAGAGTATGTTTAACATGTAATGTGGTTGCATATCAGGTGACTTGAAACCTGGGGCTGAAGTGAAAATTACTGGACCAGTTGGGAAGGAGATGCTCATGCCCAAGGATCCTAATGCCACAATTGTAATGGTATGCACCAAACCATAGTGTCTTACAGCGTCAAGATTTGACATGGTTGCTGACTTTGATTTATTATCAAATCGCAATGTCTTTGGCTCTCCGCTTGGGTTTGGTTTTTTCATTTTTATCTCCTTGTAGCTTGGCACCGGAACTGGAATCGCCCCTTTCCGTGGATTCTTGTGGAGGATGTTTTTCGAGAAGCATGAAGACTACAAGGTAGATCAACAACTGTATTTGTCTCTTCGTTCACCATTTTATTTCCAGTGCTTCATCAACTGTGATGTCAAGGAATTTTAAACAATTAACTAACACTATAAATTCATTTCCATTAAATTTTGAACAACTTTGAATGAAAAATTAGTTTAAACAAGAGGGCATATATCAAATGATCATTCAAATGCTATGTCCATTGAACATTTATCTTCAGTACGTGTTAATTTTAGTACCAGACTGATCCTTTTGGGTCTTGGGAAATGCAGTTCAATGGCTTGGCGTGGCTATTCTTAGGTGTTCCAACCAAAAGCTCACTTCTTTACAAGGAGGTAAATTTCTGCTACCCAAAAATTTGGGAAAATGAAGGAGAAATGACTTCAATTTCCTAAAACTTTGGTAGGAATTTGAGAAAATGAAGGAGAAATGTCCTGAAAAATTCAGACTGGACTTTGCCGTGAGCAGAGAAGAAACAAACGAGAAAGGTGAAAAAATGTACATCCAAACTAGAATGGCTCAGTATGCAGAAGAGCTCTGGGACCTATTCAAGAAAGACAACACTTTTGTGTACATCTGCGGGCTCAAGGGCATGGAAAAGGGAATCGACGACATCATGACGTCACTTGCTGCTAAAGACGGTAAGAGCATATTTTATATATATATATATATATGTATATGTATATATATATATATATATATATATGCCAATATGATGCCATCATTCTCCTTCACTTCTCATTATCAATGCCTTGTACTATTTACCCTTATTGGTATAATGATCTCTGCTACTGGCTTCATTTAGGCATTGAATGGGCAGAATACAAGAAACAGATGAAGAAGGGAGAGCAATGGAACGTTGAGGTCTACTAAAATTTGTCTCCCATATACACAGCTGCTTCATTGTATGGAAAACCTTCTACATCTATGTAGGGATAGATAGCAACTCTCTTGTATCGTTACATTGTCTATTAAAATTCCCATTGCTTAATCACTCAATACGTTTTCTCTTGATTGAGACCAATGTTCATGATCACGGGATTCTCTTTTAAAACTTTTTTTTACTTTTCACGTATATGAATTAAGCAAGTCGTAGACGTATAGCGCGTAAGACCATATGTCTAAGAGGGAAAATGACTCCCCTTTTACGAAATACTCGTTGTAAAGTAAACTGCAAAGGGCATGGTCGTTTGTTCATTCATACTACAGAACCTCAAAGTTAGACCTGGCAATCGGGCCAATCGATTCGGGTCCTGCTCGGATCTTTCTGGTTCGGGTCTCTTTTGGATATATGTCATAATCACTTTGGGTCGGGTCAGTTTGGTTCCAGGTTTATTTCGGTTTGATTGGTGCTTGGTTTCGGTTCGGTTTTGGTTCGAGTTTGTATCGGTTTGGGTTTATATTGGATCGAGTTTATATCGGTACGGGTTTGTATCGATTTGGGTTTGATCAGTTTAGGTTTATATTAATTAGGTATATTTTAAATATATTCTAAGAAATCAATAATATCACATAATAAATTTATTCAATTTATGACATATTCCGTAATTATTTTATTATTTAACAAAGACGTACATAAAAAATAGAGTAAATTTCATAAAAAGTCCCTAGTTATAGGTCGTTTTACATATTTAGTCTGTACATATCAAATATTACTAATTTAGTCTCCAATTATAATATATTTTTTTACGAATAGTCCTTTGTTAACATTTTGTTAATAACATGCATAAAATTATATATTCATACTTCTCTCTCCTCAATTAAGCTTCCTCCCTCTTCTCGTACTCTTTCCCAAACTCGTTGCTGAGTTTGAAGCTTTAAACCCAAAATTGAAATGATCATTCTCTCTCAATTATTAGTTTTCCTACACGTGGAATCTAAAATCAAAACATATAAACTTTATGGATGACTTTTATCAAGTAGTCTCAAGAAATTGTAAAGAAAATAAACATTAAAACTTATCATGAAGGTTACTGGTTTCGAATTTGGGTTTCACCAGTTAGACAAACAATTGAGAGAAAAGTGATGATTTCGGTTTTGGGTTCAATGCTTCAAACTCAACGACGGGTTTGGAAAATGAGTGCGAGGGGAGGGAAGAAGCTTAATTGAAGAGAGAAAGGAGTGTAAATTTATAATTTTATCCACGTTCTTAACGGAAATGTTAACAAAGGACCATTCGTGGAAATGAATATAATAATTGGGGTGTAACACCCTAATCCGTCCAGGTCTGCAGCCTCTTCCGGACTAAAGTATTAACTTGGTAATCGTAAAAATTTAAAACTTTTCAAACACACTTTATTAATCCCAATAATTTTTCATAACATATACAGTACGGAGTATTCAACAATATTGTGGAAGCGAATTTAATTTTGACATATCATAAATCATTTCAAACTTGTCACATCCATCCCGACAATCTCGCCCCATCTGCTGCCAGGATCACAGTGTTCTTTCTATTGTACCTGCGTGTAACAAATAAAACACACTACACGCTCAGCGGTAAAGCTGAGTAAGCATATCTAATGCGTCGAACATCCATATAAACTGAATCTAAATTCATAATCAAATCATTTGATATCATGCACACAATGTTCATTTAAGACATTCACAGTTTTGGTATTGTTCAGTTCATACCAACACATTTTATTCAATTCAGATACTATTTCAATAGTGCTCTTAAATTATTCTTAATCTAAGGCCAGATCATAACAACGCGCTTAGCTATTCTTAGTCTAAGGCCAGATCATAATAATGCTCTTACCTATTCTTAGTCTAAGGCCAAATCATAATAATGCTCTTAGCTATTCTTAGTCTAAGGCCAAATCATAA